CGGCTGTTGTCGATCCTTTGACGTCCTGCCAACAACCCACCACAGGTCAACCTGGGATCTCGGATATACCCCGGTATCCATGGATGTCTATTACCGGTGAGTCTTTCATGGGTGTCGAATTTGCCATTTTTTACGTTCCTTTACCTTTTTATTGTTCCTCACTACTGTTGAGCGACGGTGCACGTGAACGATGCAACGCATCATGACGAGAATCATGCTTTTATTGTCACATTTTCTTATTTTGTTACGGATTATAAAATGGCTTTTAAAGATAGATTTATAAAAAAATCATGCTTTATAAAATATGATTTAGATACTTTTAAATCTAATTAGATTGGTTCTTTGCGCCCGAATATCTCTTTACAGTCATGTTATTAAACAGAGAATTGCCATAACCGCATAAATCTAAATGTAATTGTTATGTTTAATTCATATCTTATTAATAAATGTTTATTTTTATTAATTATTTAAATGTGAAAGTGACGTACATCTATTTCTACATCTTGATAATATACATATAGATTGAATGTGGTCATATATTTTTTTATATGGCATGATTAAGAGAAAAAGTACATGAAGAATGATTGCATGAAACTTTCAGCATGATATCAATAAGAAATATTAAATTTATTTCTGGTAATTTTAATTGAATAATATAAAAAATTAATGAAGAAATAGGGGAACAATTAAAAACATTATATAAATTATTATTATTAAGTTACTATCATTTATTATATAAATATATAGTAATATTAATATATAAATTATTTAGTTTTAATTTATATGAAATTACATTGCAGGACATGAAAAAGATAGGATACGTAATTATCGATTAATTATTTCTATTTTTACTTTAAATCTATTCGATAGGGATTGAATTTTTAATGCGTTTTTCTTATTTCTCAAATTACAAATTGTATAAAATATAAATATTTCATACTAAAAATATAAATATTTTGCAATAATAAGATTGAAAGACCGCTTATGTTAAATACATTACTTTAAACTAAGAAGCGCCACTAACGTTAAGATGTTGAACTATTCTAAATTCATTTTAAATGAATTAATTTCAGAAATTATAATTTACCGATATGGATCCGACCGATATGGTTGTCGGACTTTCAACACAATCACAAATCTGAAATATTAATAATCCCTCCAAATTTCCCAACTTAAAAACTGTAATAAACTTATTGCATAAATATTTTATATTTATTTACACAGTTTACTTTGATGATGAATCGAGGACATAGAGGCAATTCATTTTTAACTTACTTGTGTGTAAAGTATACAAGCTTTATTATAATTATGTTGAGAGCGTTTATCTGGATAATGGTTTGATTATATAAACATTGTAGGCATGAATATATAAATATAGTATGCTTTTCTGAAAAAGCTGTATGTATTAATATTGTGTACTATTTTTTTTCTTTACACGTATTTTGAATTAAGATTAATGATATTAGAGAATTATATTCCATTCTATATCAGCTGTTTTATAATTTTACACGTATTAGAAATACATATATATAATTTTTCTGAAATTGCTGCTTTTCAAGAGCATATTCTATGTTTGTAAAAAAATGCAAAAGGGTGTTTATGAATATAGAACTAGCTTTCCTTAATATTAATATAGAAAATATTAATATAAGAGAGTAAAGAAATCTTCTCATTTCTAATATCCACTATTTTGAGATTACGTGAAACCAGTTTTGTGGCGTATTGTAATTGCAAATGTAGCAGCGCTGACGAAAATAATTTGCATTGTAATTTGAAATGTAACAGCAATCTTCGAAGAAAACATGAACGTAACATCAACATAAAGAATGCACTATACATTGTTGGATTAGAGTCCCTGTTAGAAGCGCTGTTGTTACCACACGAAACTTGAAGTTATTCCGATGTCGTGCATAATACATCGTACGTGTGTCTTGCCGAGGAGAGTCTTTGTCTGCTGAGAGGTGTTAGCTAGGACAAAGCACCGACGGTATTTATCGTTTATATTTGCAGGGAACAACGCAGCGCGCGGCTATATACGGGCCAGTCTGTTGTCGCGTTCTTGACGCTGACTGGCTGACGCGAAAACTGCACATTTTTGCAGTAACGTAAAACGGCACGTTTAGTTGCTTTTTTCACGTTTGATATTATTGTTACATTGTACCACCGGTACGCAAAATAACTCCAACAAGTATGAAAAGAGGGACCTCGTTTACTTCGTTGGAAGTGCAGTAGAAACCGCGAATCGACGCTTGTTGATTCGCGGTTTCCTTTATGCACGAATGTTAGATTTATCATGCTAGGTACTTTGTTGAGACTTTAGGTGTAAACTCCAGTTACAATAATCACCAATATTTGTCACATCCAGATACACAACACCGACTTGAAATTCACTCGATAAACGAATTTAACGCGTACTACTTTTTTAAGCCAGTTCTAAATTATTTACCACGTATTTACAATAAAGTTTCTCTGGGTTGGTTGCACACACACTCTCTCTCTCTCTCTCTCGCTCGCGTTTATACCAATGTACATACTTGCGTTAGCATATAGTAATATAATACAAGGCATACACCCGCAAAGGGCGAAGGATCGCGGAATATATTGCGATTAAGTTGTAATCTTTGAATATGCAAATTATTTTCCGAAGCCCGTTTCCCTATCAACACGTTATAATAATACTTGACGTTAACGCGTTAACTTTCCATTTTGCCAACTCGTGAGGTCCTGTATTATGCCCGCCGCGAATCATGATCGTGCCTCGTGTAATTTCTAATGCATAGCGATAGCGTTGATTAGAGTGACATGATTCAATTTCATATACTTTACCGCTTATTATTGTCACGCGTCTCTGTAAAAAATAAATGACGATCAAATTGGCTACTGGTCATCGATCTTTAATATTACCTCCTGTGTTTACGTGGACGTTATCTAGGAAGCTAAATCGCTTTCATAGATTATACAGCGACTATCTCTTTAGGATATATAATTAATTTTCTCATGACTTCCAAGATAATCTAATTTCACGTTCTGGTTATTTTAATGTGTTGTTGTTGTTGTTTCATTCAATTTTACAATGCTAGTTATATTATCAATTGATATCTTATTGATATCTAATGCTGTCACATCATATTTAAGATTTTTCTAATATTTATAGCATTATCTTTTACTTTGATAATGTTTTTACATTTTGCATTTTCTAAATAAACAACAAATCAATATGATATTATTTTTCTTCTGTGTCAAATATAGTTTTAAATTTTATTTATCCTTATTCTCTTTTACACTTGATATATTTCTAATCTCTCTAAAGGGTTTACAGTTTTTCGAACACTCTTACTGTCGTATGTCTATTCATGCGTCAATATGTTCCTTATCTATTTTATGAGTATGTAAGAATAGTTTTATGTCTCTTGTGAAGAGAGGTGAATGATTCAGCCGACATATAGCGTGACAATTTCAGTTTCGTGAGGCTTGAATCAAAATCACATTAACAATTCATAAGTCTATATTTTTTCTATGCAATAATCAATATTATTTTGAATATCGAAACTTATTGAATATTAATTTAATTGTGTATAACGGGACGTATGCGCATTACATTTTTATATTAATTTTTATATTAATTCTTATATTATAAAATAATAATACGTAGTAATAACTTATTATTAACATATATAGTCATTCCAGATTATTATATACATTTGTTCATAGTCCATACGTCAATCGTGTAAATTTAGCTGATTTGAATATACATCACAACACTTATCTTGACAGAGATTTTTTTTTATATTTTAATTTTTAATTTAGAAGTATCAACAGGAACTTCAAAGATTCTTGCAAATTATTAATATCGAATTAATTTATCTACTAGCTAATCTTTGATGTATCCGATCGCTCGACGTCGTTTGTTTAATTAATATTTTTCTTTAACCAAGATTGTATGAGTTGTATAGTGTTTCGTTTTGTTTCCTTATTATTTTAATGTTTTGCATTGACGTGCAATTTTTAATATTAGTATGCATTTGAATCGTACCTTGCGAATTTATTATAATACGCTTAAGGAATCATGCTCTGTGTCATGTTATAAGCTTATCTCAATTGCATATGTAGTTTTATAGCTTCAAACTGCGCATGAATCTGATTTCTATTATTTCACTTGATATCACAGAAAGAGGGCAAAGATGTGTGTGTATATAATTACCAAAGTACGCACGCGCGTTCGACAGTTTTGTACGGATATTCTAATAAAATTCTTTTATTTTCCAGATTGGATGAGTCCATTTGACAGAGTGGTTTGCGGTGAGTACGAATTACTGCTGTTAATTGGAATGCTTTTATATTATTATCGCCATTATTTGCATTGCATATAAATATATATTTTTATACATATATGTATTATTTGCATTATATGCATATACTTATATAATATATTCCATATTTCTGTGAATACTTTAAAACTTTTTCTTTGGGAAAGTTAATTTAATTTTAAATGTGGTAAACAATGTTATATTAATGATTAACAAACTGCACATTAAGTGATTATGTTTATATTAATTATGAAAAATAGATAATCTCTTTGAGAGATTGAAGAAAAAAGTGATCTATTTTACATTACACATAAAATATTAAATAGATGATAACCGCGAAAGACAAATTAATGTGAGATCTTACGTATCTCGAGATCTTAAAAAAAGCTAAAGATGAGAATGCGAGGAAATGACTTTTCTCAAATATAAAGTTACGCTCCATATGCTAGTCACATTTCTCTCTTCAGTTCAATATATAAAGAAGAGGTACTTATAGTTGTATGGAACATTATAGCTGTTTTCTTTTTCCTGAAAGCCATGACTTGTCCTTTTCTTACGTTTCAACATTGACATTATCCAGATTCATCACGTATTGTATTTTCAAAATTAAAAATACAAATAGTGTTTCCTTCCGTTTGATTATTCAATTATGATGCTGTCGTTCAGTCGTAGGTTTAATGAATGGTTAATCATCAGTCTACGATAAAAAAATGATGTAATCTCAAGCGTGTCGAGGTGTCAAGGTCATCATTCGGATCATTTACGTGAATTGCGGCGCTACCGGGCAGCACACGCTAAGTTCTTACCCTATTCATTTATGTTAGTTGCGCATGCAAGAAGGACATGTATATGGGTAACTACACCTGTCGTCACTATGATAATGTTAGCCGCGAATAATCTCCATGACTATCTTTTATACAGCCACTTACGAGCCCACAATAGCGCAATAAATACCGATTAGATAAAATTAAAACTTTAACCGACGGCTTTTATCGCGATGGTTTGTTTACATCAGGCGGATCATAATTTCAAATAGGCATTGGCGATCACTGTACTGAAGTCTCCAACTGTGCAGAGGGAATGCTTACTCCGGTAGGAAATTACATTCCGATATATTCAAACAGAATATATCTATTTCTGCTTATATGTTATTGGTCGATAAATTAGAATATCCCTTCGCCGTTATACATTTAGCTGTTTTTTACTAATCATATGCTTTAGCAATCTATATATTTCAAATTATACCATTATAATCAAATCGAAACTGTAATATTTTATTAAAATCAATTAACAAATTCATTATATTGTATTTTAAATTAATAATTATTACCGAATAAAATATAATGCGAAATAATATATTCTCAAGCGATTAAATAATAATATATGCAAATAGAGAGAGAGCAATAAATTAAAATGGCATATTAAAAATTAAAGCCATATGTTAGCAGATATTATAAATTAATTAAGCTATTTCAACTAACACAAAGACGTGAATAACATTTTTTTTTAAAGGGAAGTAATTCACTTAGATGCGGACATATTTCTAGATTCTACAATTCCCCCTTAAAAGATTAAATTAGTTTTCTAATTTTAATTAACTTTAGTTAAATTTTATTATTGTCGTAACGCATAGATATTTCGTCTCCTACACGAGAAGAAAAAATTTACGAAATAATATATAAATGCAACACTTTGTAATACTGTTATATTTATCGCATTTATTTTAAATTCAATTCATGTGCTCGTAAAGCCTCTATTTTTACTCACAGTCTTATTCTTCGTTGTTTTCATTGATTCAGTATATGGTTAATACATGTGAATGTGCTATGCTCTGAGATTTAGAATCAGTTTTTTTGAACTTGTCCTTCGGGGTTGTCCATGCATCTCATTAAAATTTGTAATGTTCGAAGATATATATAAAGTATCCTGTTGTAAAGAAAAGAATGAGAGACAAACAAATTTGTCTTATTTATTATTCAGTATTATATTTCTCGAAAAGTAAAATCGCATAAAAACTTTATTTTATTTTTATTTGTTTTTCATAAGAAATTATTTCCCCGCCAATTATTTTATAATGTATTGAATATTATGTGATAGATTTAATTATAATATAATTCGCGTTTCTTTCATACGGTGCGCATGAATTACAAATACAATACCGTAATACGTATATTTTTAAATACCGTTATACTATAACTGAGAAGAGATGATCAGACATGATTGCAGCTTTTTTTTATTCGTATTAATAACGTGTCGCGGATACAATTAAATGACTTTCATTTGTAACCGATACAAGATCTTTTCGAGAACCACGATTAGTTTGCGTTTGAGAACGAAATTCCAGGATCACGAAAATTTTTGGGAATGTTGTTCACGTTCAGCTGAAATTAAAATTACACCGGCTAACGTGACGGTGAATGTGGTAACCAAGCGGAATTGTTAGCGTGGACGACCTACGAATTTCTAATCTGTCTCTAATATACGCGAACATATTCTGACATTGGGGGTTCAGAGGCCTGCAAATGTCTAGCTGGATTACGGTGTGTACATGGGGACTAGCAGGAGATAATGTATAATTTATAATCAGGCCGATCCGCCGACAACGGTGCACCACTCTACGGGTAGAGTCCACTGCCCCAAAAGCCGCCAACCCCTCATTAGCATTCGATGATGGCTGCCGCGTCCTGCAGCGTCGGTATTATCCCATTTCATCGCCCCCGCCTCCCCTACCTGGACCTCTCTTCGTATTCTCCCGCCTCTGATCTCGTCGGTTCTCCCCGTCTCTCACACGTAAACGTTTCCTCCCTCGCCTTAGTCGCATCAGCAGGTATTCAGCATTGACTAGAAAAAGAATAGTCTCCATCGAACTTTTATCCAGCAAATTTCATCCGGAATTCTGTTTTATGCTGCGATCCGTGCTGCACACTTTTCACTTTTCTATTTTACTCATCACCTTCTCTATATGCCATTAATATCTATACGCTTTTTGCCAAACATCAAACTCTGCGCGGAACGTTGCTGCGGGAAAGTCTAGCTGTAGGAGAACATTAGTATTTTGAGGCGAGCAAAATTGGAGGTTGAGTACAAAACTAGTCGTAAAAACTAGACATTGGGGGACGCAGTCGATCGAAAAATTGAAGAGCGCGGGGGGAGACAACGATCGAAATTTTTATATTCGTCGATACGGCGTGACCGCTTTTGACATTTACCGAGGGAAGCCAGGTTTTCAGAGACAGGTCAGGATCGTGTTGTCACAGAGATTATTGAAACTGCAGTTTTATGGGCCTTAAAAGCAATTTAATTGCCGTTATATAAGTGTTTATACGCTGCCAGGTTTGGCCTCCGCCTGCGCCACCCCAAACGTTTATTTTATGGTCACACGGCGGCGCGTACCCCGTTATGTCGCGTGCCGAAGCCATCACACCAGTCAAATCCTCAGGCAGGTCAGTCGATTCTAAATATTGGTGTACATTTATGCGATGGCTGTCCTAAAACGATATCTTACAATGTCAGGTATTTGGAATCGGCTCATCGAGGATTAGACTGATACTTAACTTTAGAAAGGGAAGAAATTTACACCTTTGTTTACACTTTCACATTTTCTTTTGAAGGGATAACTTTAATATTACTTAATATATATTGGCGGATCAATATAACATTATGATAAAAAATACACATTATTATGCATGACATAAAAATATTGCAAAAGTTATATCTTTTGGAAATATTTCTTAAAAACGTTTTATTGTAAAAGAACTAAAACAGAATACTAAAATTTCACATTTAAAAATTTTTTATTTTTTATGATTATATACATTTATATTTAAATATATATTTTTTTTTATTTATTTGCGATGCCTATCGCAATTTTTAAAAAAATTTAAATTTTTAATATTTACTTTCGCTATCTGCACTATGATACTGGATACAGAATTCAACATATTCTTTTTTATTGTCGTTTCGAATCTAAACATTATGTGACATTTCCTTTTTTATTTCCTTTTTGTAACTTTAACTCTTTCCAGAAATACTACTTTTTCACGCTCGGACATTTACTAAACCCTTTGTCGTGCGTATTGCGTATTTTTTCTCATTATCGTAAAGGCAATAAGTTTTCCCCGATCCACAGAAAGAGAAAAGCGAGACTGACGCAAGAATCAAAGATTTTTTTTCGACGTGTGTAAATCACGATGTTGTTTCGTGCTGAGTCAAGTGAAAGCAAAGGCTTTGACAATCGTATTTTACACGAAAATCAACCATATCACGTTTATAATAAAGAACGTCACGCATATTTTTAGCCCTTTTCCATTGATGTGTTTAGTTCTTGAACTTTTATGCTGGAATTGATTTAAATTGGCGCTATGTATAAGTAACTAAATTAGATTTTAAATAATCAACTTCAAGTTGATTATTTTGAATAGGCGCACATTTATAACTTCTTGTCTTTCTTATTTTAAGTAATCGTTCACATATGATTTTAAAACTGCGTAAATAATGTTTAATATTAATCTAAATATGAAATAAATGAGATCGTAATTCAATATAGAGAAAAAACCTTAATAATTGTTTTATATAATAATGGATGCATAATTCATTTTATCTATTACTATTCACGTAAATCTGTAATCAAGGCTACCGATGTATGTACAGAGATATATCATCGCTTAGTTTTCTTGCTGCAATGGATAGTTTTTATTTATGTCACGTGAACTTTATTACATAGACGTGTTCGACATTTAAAATGTTTAAAGTCTCAGGATTACATTTTATCTTCTATGACTATATGTACAAACGACAAGAAATGCTTGCTGTATTCGAAGATAAACGTTTATCCTTCATGTGAAAGTTAAATTCCAATAAAATATACATGCGGATTATAAAGGATATTGTATTCGTATATGCCTTTGTTTCCTCCGGCGGCGCGCAATCTCTTTCGCAGGGATATGATCTTATTTAACTTTATATTTAATTTTAATAGTATCCAGCTTTTTC